TGCACAGCCACTGGCGGGAATATTTGAACGCTCGTGGCGCACGGGCCAGGTCCCGGAGGACTGGAAAAGGGCCAATGTGGTCCCCATTTTCAAGAAGGGGAGGAAGGAGGACCCAGGCAACTATAGGCCAGTCAGTCTCACTTCCATCCTAGGCAAAGTCTTCTAAAAAATTATCAAGGCTCACATTTGCGGGAACCACCAGGATCAGATAAAGAGTTTGGCAAACAGTGTAAAATGTTCTGAGTGAAGGCTGTCTGTTACTCTAAATATATTCATTGGGTAGGAGAGTCTGAAGCAGCTGGACATGAATGCTAGCCACATTGCTCCCTTGTAATGCTGTTGGCTACGGAAGCTGGTGTGCCTCAACCAAAGTATCTCAATGGGCCTGCTGGGCTTAAACAGACCACAACTGACTGACATGCTTCCAAATTCAGTCTCTCTGCACTTCTCATAGTCACTCAGACAGTCATGCCATATAAATGTGCATCAGCCAGTTGAAATGCTGTAGCTCTCTTTCTGGTGTCAGCTGTGCTATGCTTTATAAAGGTCATTGAAATCTCACCTATTTCTGGAAAAGAAAAATTCTGCCAAAGTAGAACTACAAAAGAATGGAATTTTAATTTGGTGGAAAGACATTTGGGGGAGGAAGGGTAAGATTGGATTGTCTCAGTGAAACAAAAATGCTGAAATAAATTATTTTGTTATTATGTTTTAATTAAAACATTTTAATTAAACTCTAGTTGCAGTCCTTTTTAACACCCTTCCCTTCCCTAAAGTTTGCTCAGATTTTAAATGAAAGATGTTGTTTCAAACCAAAAATGTTGAACAGATTTGCTTTGAAAGTTTTGGGATATATGGTGCAAAGTGCCTTATGGACAGTTAAAAGGAGGGTGTAGTACAAGTCAATGGAACTGGAAGTTAGGGGGGAATTAGAGGGGGCAAGTACTGCAAAAATATCTGTTAGGGTGGAATTAGAGGGGGCAAGTACTGCAAAAATATTCTGGCACTGTATATTTGAACTAGTAAGTAAACTTGTTTTGGTTGCATTCATAATCTCTTTAGGTTAACTTTCCAGCAGCTGTTCTGAAAGTGATTCTTACTCATATGGATCCTCATGGAAAGCGAGTTGTAAGAGCAGCAAATGTTCATGGAACATGAATTTTAAATTAACTTCATCTGAGGGTTCACACCAGATTATGAATTATGCTTCTTTAATCAGAGAAACATGTGATTTATGGGCCTGATCACAGCTAAACAGCACAATTCGAATTTCATATTACAAATAGGATGCTGAAGAGTAAATCAAATTCACTAGAAGGTCATTGAATCATTCAATTTAATGAGTATATTTGAGGGTACCAGGATCAGTTTGCAGGTATTTCGTGAACAGAAAAAGTAAAAATATTTCAAATTATGCATTATGAATTTGTATTTAGAGCTTGTAAAAATAGGGTAATAATGCTGTTATATTTGTGTCCTGTGTTAATCTTTTGATGTGTGTTGATATTTGTGACTAGCAGAGTGTCAGATTAATGAAGTGACCATGATTGTTTAATATATCTATCATATTTATTCCTTCTCACTCCTTTTCCAATTGAGAAAATATCTTTTTCCCTGAGCAGCTAACATATATACACCTTACATATTTGTACATTTAGTTTCATGCTCTTAATACTTTATATATCTTTATTGACAGGTTTGCCTGTTTGTCCAGAGCTAACCAGAGAACATATCCCTAAAACCAGAGATGTGGGTCACTTCTTGTCTGTTACTGGTACTGTTATTCGTACTAGTTTAGTGAAGGTCCTGGAGTTCGAGCGGAATTATATATGTAATAAATGCAAACATGTATTTGTTGTAAAGGCTGATTTTGAGCAGTACTATGCTTTCTGTCGTCCATCAGCCTGCCCAAATGAAGAAGGCTGCAACTCATCCAAATTCACTTGTGTCTCAGGAACAAACGCTGCTCCCACCAGTTGCAGAGACTATCAAGAAATCAAAATTCAAGAACAGGTAAAATATTGAGGGTGGCTGTTATTAAAACACAAAAAAGAATGCGATGAAAAAATAATTATAGGAAGAGTGGTGTGGGCTTATCTGCTACTGTCATGAGCTAGTGCAGACCCATTAACTTCTGTGTAACTGCACCTCCTTATGTCAACGGTGAATTTGTCCCTTGATCATTAGTAAGTTTGTTAAGATGCCATCATAAGTAGAAAAGTTGTAAACCATTTACAGTTATTTAAAACAATTGCTGCAGTGGGAGGACAGCTTTGTCTTGTTGGTCAGACTCTTTAAGTTAAAGAACTGAAAAATGAAGCTTATAGCTACTAAAATTCCTGTACTAGGTTATACCTTTTGCTAAATTACAAAATTAAATAAAGTTATTTTTATGCATCACAATATCCCCATCCAAAGCATGGGGCATTCAAAATTTATAGCACTACATGCAAATTGTCTGTTTGAGCCAACTGTGCGTAGATTGTATATGTGAGATAATGATGCTTGAGGTGGCTCCCCTGGAATCAATTTAGCTCTCTGATGGTAAATGCCAGCTGCAGTAGTACTGCTGCATCTTAGCGTATCTACAGATATCTGTGCCTGTCAGTCTGCACTCACATTCACAAATGGTTACTAGATATTTTGCTGTCTGAGGCAATATGTATTCCTATGTTTAACAGTTAGCCCTAAGTGAATGTCCAAGGGTTTTTTTTTTAACTGAGAAAGTTAAGTACAATGGGGAGATATTTTTCCAGTGCCAAGTAGTCCAGTCCAAGGAGCTGAAAAAGTCTAAGCTGTACAGAATGTGAAAACAAATAAGATGCATTGTAGTTAATGTCTTTCTTATTATGTATTTCTTGGTTCAGTACAGTAACTTATTCATAATTCTTTTTCTTTAATTGACTTGTTTTAGGTTTTCCAAAATAAGAGGGTTCAGAGTAATATGTGTGGGAACATCATATATACAAAAACAACTATGTGGAATGAAATAAAAAAATGTTTTAAATTTAAGGATAACCAGTGAGTGAGGGAGTAAAAATATTTCTGATTCCATGATTCCCAAGTTGCTTATTCATTTTATTCTTATTTAAGGTAGTTAATTTTTATTAGGACTTTAATTCCCTTCTCTTTTACTGCACCCCCAAAATATCTGCATTGTGGAGACAGATTCTTTGATAGTATGAAAAAGTCAGTGGAATTAAACCAGGGGTGAACTGACCCTGTGTATGGGAGATATCCTAGTTAGACCTGCCAGAAACCATGGATTTGCCACCAGTATCCACTGCCTGTAGCACTCCTATGTGAGACAAAAATATAGAAATAGTTTCCAGGCACCAGAGAATAAATTAATCTAAAATCCCAGTATGGATAAGTTTTTGCTATAAAAGAAAAGGTACTACTGATTGTTGTTCTGTCTATAGTGTACGTTTTAACAGTTATGGTAGGATTTCATGTGTAGCTGGAAAAAAATTATTTAGACAGAAATAGATTATGACAAGATTGCATAGGCTGTTCCCTGGAGAAAAAGATAAGTACAACAGTTACTGACGTCCTTGTCAATATGTATTCTTCTCGTTGTGTTTGATTTGTTTTCCCCTGCTGGTATTTTTTTGGGGGTGGGGGGCGGACCCACGTGTAAACTTTTTGCAAATCTGAAAGCTTGGATCAAATACATATATCATTAGGTCCTCTTTCCATATATAAATTTAAGGGTGGGGGGATGTTTACTTTTTAGGGAGGTGTTCATGCCTGTATTTATTGTTAAATAAATGCCTGTACTTTTTATTGAAAATATGCCTAAAGAAATTCTCAGTTGGTAAGTCCAGTTTTTGAAAATGACCTTGTTCAGGTAGAGCTCCTTCCAACAAGATGTTGAAGCCATTTGGCACCTCACAAGACAGGTACCAGTGGATAATCTAAGACCCTATTCTGTTTTTGTTGTTGTTGATAGCAAATTCCCATTGATGTCCTTGGAAAAGTAGCAGGTTCATTATGTAAATTCTGTGATGGCCACCTCCATGGGGAAAGGAAGATGAGTCACTGGTGCACAAGTCAAAGGTTCCTTTGCAACCTAAAGCAACAGTATATGGTTGTTAGATGGTATACCTGTGATAAATGCATATTTTTTTGTTTTTGTTTCCTAGGTTCAAAGACTATCTGTTGGAAGCATTCCTCGCTCTATGGTGGTTGTCTTGGAAGATGATTTAGTGGATAGTTGCAAGTCTGGTGAGGACTGAAATATTCCCTTTTGAAGTTATATATATTTTTGATTAAACCTAGAATGTTTTGAACCTTATATTTCATTTGAAAGAACGCATCTCCAATACAGCCATTAGTTTTGAGGATTTGTCTGATGGGATAAGCTTGTATGCCACAGCATTGTTGTGTTAACTCAGGGTCTTAATCTGACAATTTAATACTATTACAGAAAATATCATTGCCGTATATGACATCATGATGTTTTGGCAGCTTGCCTTTGCTGTGCAATGTTTCACAGCCTCCAGAAGACATTTTGAGACCTGTTAATGTTAAATTAGATTTGTACATCACTAGACACATGGCCAAATTGACCCAAGGTGTGGTGCACCTCTTTGGTTTGGAAAGCCATGTACCCTGGCTTACCATGTAAGAAGGACAACAAACAAAATGCCTACTTAGCCTGTAGGGACAGTCAAAAAAGGTAAGAAATATTAAGCTGCATAAAGAATGGGAAATAATATTCAGAACATTACAATTTGGTTCTGTAAACTTATATCAGAAATGCTGCATTTAGCATTAATCATCCTAACTCAAAGCAACACTTTGGCCAAGGTTTTTGATTGGTTCTGACCACTCTGGTAGAAGGGAAACAGAACTAGATAGACTGTTAGTCTGAGCCAAGAGAGTAGATCCCCTAACTAGCTGAGAAAAAAATTAGGTCTCATATTTAGTTTGGTGGCATTTTTCTGTTTGTTTCTAATGCCTTAATTTTTTAATGGCACATCCAATTTATTTAAAAGATATGAGGGAATGTTCCAGGCATCAGTGGGATCATTTAATTTTGGTAAACTTAAAGAAAAACATGGAGGAGAGGAATGACAGAAGTACAGAATTATTGCACTATCAGGAGGCAAACAGTTACAGTATATAGAATTTCACGTCTCTATGCCAAAACAAAAGAGCAAAGAGTTTCTTTTTTCTTTTAACCAAAGTGGAGTTTTCTGACTAACTATACTCATAATTTAATATGGATAATGAAATCAAAAAAAGAAAACCCACAAAACTGGAATTATTTACTAAAACTATCCATAGAGCTCTGTCAAAACAAAGTTGTCTCCATTTTTGTTTTAGTAAGCTCAGCTGAAGTTTCTTTTAACACAATTGAATAGGTTCTATTAATAATATACGGAAGTGTCCTACTAGTGCATTATAATCTGAAAATGATACTGATCCAGATAAAACTTGCCATGACTCTTCTCACTTCATTCACATAAGATAAGAAAACTGGAACAAGGAAACAAGTGTCATGACTGTCAATGCTGTTTGTGAGATAGGGAAGAAAAATGTGTTTTTAACCCAACAGTGCTTTTACAACTCCTAAGAAGGACTAATCTGTTCATTTTGTTTGCTTTAGATTTTCAATATTTAAAAATACAAAATAATTGTTCCATATCTTATTTGTAGACATAAAAAGCCTCATAAAAATGTCTGTTTTAGACATACAGTAGTTTGAGTAATTCCATTTTTCCCTTTTATCAACAGCTGTTCTACTGTTAATAAACTACCTCATTATGTGGTCTACTCTAAACTACCTTATTCTATGTTTAATTTAGATGTTAGCGGAGATGTCTGCATCCACTAACCGGGATGTTATCGTGACTATTTTTGTCCCTACACCCAGGTGATGACATCACAGTGTATGGAGTGGTAATGCAGAGATGGAAACCTTTCCATCAGGATGTGCGCTGTGACCTTGAGATTGTTTTGAAAGCCAATTACATTAAAGTAAATAATGAACAACTAGCAGGAGTTATAATTGATGAGGAGGTCCGCAAGGAATTTGAAGACTTCTGGGAAAAACATAAGAGTAATCCCTTAGCAGGTTTGTAGATTAACATTTTCAATATTGTGTGCAGATACTGGTGGAGGCAACATTGTGTTATTGACAGTATTTTTGCTTCGCTCCCCCATCCAACAGTCTTCCTTGGAGAATGCTGGGCAGGTTTTTAGAGAAGCAGAGCACATTTGGTTCCCATTCATTTCAGGGGTATCATAAAGTAGCAAATCCTATCTCAATCTATCAGAATTTATCTCAGGCCAATAGGACAGAACTCCAAGAAACTTAATTTTACTTTAAATTAACTATTATGTCTGTCAGCCTTGTCATGGCAGCTTTAGAAATAATTTCTTGCTACACATAATTTCCAAATATGAAATATAAATTCTTACTTAATTTGCTTTTTTTTTGGTTACTATTATTAGTTGAAAAAAGTATTATGTCCTTGAAATCCATACCAAAAATGTACTACCATGATTTTTCTTCTTCTGAGCTTTGTGCCACCGTACTTGTCAGAGTGTTTTTTGTAACATCCTTTTACAAGGAGTAAGTACGAGCGTCAAATTATGTGTGTGATGGGGAGGGGAACAATGGAGTTTTATAATCAAGAAAAAACTACACCATGCAGAATAAATTGTGGGGGCCAGATGTTGTATAGTCCAAGGACTTTTGCTGTATTTTACCAATGACTAATGTAAAATACAGACATAATTTCATAGGTTTCATAGATTTCATAGACATTAGGGCTGGAAGGGACCTTGGAAGATTGAGTCCAGCCCCCTGCCCAAAGGGCAGGAAGTCAGCTGGGGTCATAGGATCCCAGCAAGATAAGCATCCAATTTACTCTTGAAGGTATTCAATGTAGATGCTTGAACCACCTCCGATGGCAGGTTATTCCAGACCTTGAGGGCTCGGACAGTAAAGAAATTCTTCCTTATGTCCAGCCTGAAACGGTCTTGCAGTAGTTTATAACCGTTCGACCTCGTCATCCCTCCGGGCACTCTGATGAACAAACATTCCCCCAGATACTGATGGTCACCCCTGATAAACTTATAGGTGGCCATCAGATCACCCCTGCGCTTTTCCAGGCTAAAGAGCCTCGTAGATCTCAGCCTGTCGTCGTAAGGTCTGTTTTCCTGACTTCTGATCGTGTGCGTGGCTCTTCTCTGGAATCTCTCAAACTTCTCCACACCTTTTTGAATTGTGGAGCCCAAAACTGGACGCAGTACTCCAGCTGCGGCCTCACCAAGGCTGAGTACAAGGGGAGAATGACGTCCCGGGATTTGCTTGAGAAGCATCTATGGATGCAAGCCAGCGTTTTGGTCGCTTTACTAGCCACAGCATCACATTTCATAATCTTGACAGCAAGGACTGAAACCCAGGATTCCCTCCAAGGTAAGTGCTCTGACCACTAGGCATCAGAGTCAGCCTCTTTCTTGTCACATGAATCTTGACTTCTGTTCTGAACAGTGGTACAACTTCAGCAGAATGGACTGTGCTTCCATGCAAAGTAGCTTGGTTAGGGCACTCTCCAGATATATCGGGTATGTGGGTTCCTATCCCTTCAGACAGAGGAGGAAATTGAACCTTGGTCTGCTACTGCCTAAGGCAGTAGTTCCCAGCTTAGGGTCATAAAGTGTTCAAGACGAACACTTCCAGGTTCGCTGTCGGCGCTTTCGTGCACAGCGCTTCCAGGTTCGCTGCCAAGCGTGGCATGGGTGCGTGGGGGAGCTCCCCCGCTCCAAAAAGGTTGGGAACCACTGGCCTAAGGGGAAAACTCCAACCATTAGACCTATTGTACAGAAGTGGTAGCCCCATTATTATTGCTGTCTCTTAAAGAAAGCAATGGCCACCACTAAATTTTGTGAGGAGCCTAATCCTGTGCGCATTATGCATACGTACTCTAATACTGCCTCTTGAATTGAGCCTGTGAGGAAACTTTGGTAGCAAAAAGACTTACTTTCTGATTCCTAGTTGGGATTAGGTTGAGGTAGGCACTGAGTTGCTCAGTCCTGTCAAGACTGGGACAGTTCTGCCTATGCAAACACATGCAACTGCAGGAGTCTGGGGAGATAAAGCAACTCCAGTGTTTAGGTGGTAGCTGGGGTTTTCCAGGATTGCTGTGTTGGATCTGCATGCCTAAATTGTATATCAGTCCCACTTCAGGTACCTATGACTAGCCCGGTTTTCTTACACACTTGATACCAAAGTTTAAATAATCAATCAATTTTAGAAATTTAAAGGGCTGCCTTTGCTTCTCGACTGGTTGCACTGGCTTTGTGCATTTCCAGTAAAGAAGCATCTGTGAGACTAGAACCCCAATTTCTGATAAATGTCAATGCTGCAGAGAGCAGAACTGATTCCATCACACCTTTCTCCCTTGCAGTCATCAGACCAGAGTGGAGCACTGCAGTACTTGAGAGAGTATGCAGAAGGAGACTTCACTGAGTTTTACCACACGCTACATTTGGGCATTAAATGTCATAGTTGCTTTTAAATCAGTGGAGCAATACCAGATTACGCTAGTTGTGGACTTGACTTTATGGTGCCTAACTAAACACAATGGCTGCCTGCAAATGTTAAAAAAAAAAAACAAAACAATCCAAGAAGCATGCTTTACCAGAAGAAGCAGTACATTACTTCAACCCGGCTCTGCAGCGCTTGTAAAGTTTGGGTGCTTCAGCGGGGCTTTTTGGTGTAGTCAATCAGCGATTAGATGCCAAAAAAACTCGACTAAAGCACCCAATCTTTACAAATGTCAGGCAGGCTGGGTTGAAGTAACACACTGTCTCTTCTGGGCATGCGCGGTGCTTGGTGCAGGAATGTACCGAGTTTAAAGTAAAGCGTCAATTTTTTGTATGTTGTTTGTTTTTTTTACATCTGCAAGCACCCATAGTGCCAGGATTCAAAGGGATATTCTAAGGGGCTGAGTTATGAAGGGAATCTTGAATTTGGTTCCCATCGAAATAAAACCCCCCTGCCCACACTACTTCTCTGGTTAGGAAAATCACCCATTGGGAGTAATGATACATCTGGGTGGAGTGATAAGTCAAGAGGAGAGAGGATTGTGTGTGTGTTTACATCACATTTAGCTCCAAAATAGTGCTGAGTGCTGTTTTTCACACCTTTTCTAGGGAGGAATGAAATCTTGGCTAGCTTGTGTCCTCAGGTGTTTGGGTTATACCTAGTGAAGCTTGCTGTTGCTATGGTACTTGCTGGAGGCGTGCAAAGGACTGATGCTGTAGGAACTCGAGTGAGAGGTTCGTATTCTTGTTTTTAATTCTGTGAAGTCCATTTCTTCCCTTGTGCTTGGTCCCTTTCAAGAAAAAAAAGAACAATTCAAAATTGGTATTAGATTTGGTAAAGTTGCAGAAACATAATCATTTCATTTTCCTGGGTGAAAACTGCGTTTTATCAGTCTTGAGTATCTGTATCTTGTGTAACTCAGGGAAATAAGAGAAATGTTTGGTTTTCTTTTTTATTTACATCCTCTTTATTTTTCTAAGATAACCTGAAGTAAGAGTATGTTTTCACTGCTCCATTAAATAAAATACTACAATCCATTGTTTTAGATAAGTGAGGTATTATCTTTTTTTTTAACTTTATAAATCAGAGAATGGGATATTAATATTCCATAGTGTGGATCTCTACCCTGTGTTGAAAGGAAAAATTAAAGGGTTGGTTTTGTAATGCCAGATTTTTTCATCTGTGATTGGCAGTGTATTTCTCTTAGACCTGCTACTGTAAGTTATCTTCCTG